TGGTGTGTTGACGTGGGAGGGAGGATGGCGTCGTGAAGGGTGGCCAGGAAACGCCCGGCTGCACGCACCATAAAACACACATATTACATACACACAGGCACAGAGATCCATCCATCCATCAGCAGCTGACCTACCTGGTGACGGCGCCAGAGCCCTGACAGTCATCCTGACCACATCAGGCGGCAAGTCGTCCTTGAGCGTCGCAGCCCACAATCCCTCACACTCATCGCCACAATGCACCAGCCTCTCGCACACACATGACGCATCATCGCCATCACTACCCACACCACCGCCACCGCCACCAACGAAGCTCCCCTCCCAAGCGGCCAACACGCACTCCGGCTGCTTGAACTGCTGGAAATGCGACTTCAGGGCCTCACGCACACCGCCGATAAGGCCTTTCTCCCGGGGCGCGCCGAGCTCCTCACTTGGTGGCGGCGGGAGGGAGGGGACGGCCAACAGGTGGCTGCCGAGCCAGGTGAGATGGGAGACTGGCAGTGGGAGCACCTTGACACACTCGAGCCTGCAGCCAGCCACGATGGGATGAATGAATGAAATGCGTCTCATGCGGACGGTCGGCCATTGGCCGGCTCACTTTGGGACATATTTGAGGTTGGTGTCGAGGTCGTGTGCGTCGTCGACCGGGCCGTAGAGCCGCACAGCCCGGCCCGTCGACACGGCGAGAGTGAAGCTCTTCCGGTGCCAGGCGAGGGCCACCCCGCCGCTGCCCAGTCCCTCCATTACACCCTGCACACACAGTTATCTCCTTCTCTCTCTCTCTGTGTGTGTGTGTGTTACCCACCGGGACATTGCTGTCGGTGTCCGTGTCGATGTGAATAGTCTGTAGCAGCTCCATGTTGTCGATAGAGAGGAGCAGGATGCGCGTGACGGTCTCGGCTGAGCCCAGCGGGATGACCGAGTGGGCGGCCGCCACGCCATACGAAGGATGCGGGACGAGCAGCAGAGATGACTGACTCATCATTCTCTAAGCTTCCCTTCTTCTCGAGGCAGGCAGGGATCTGTCACGACGGTATAGAGCCAGAGGAGAGATGCGTCCACTCCTCGAGAGGAACAGGCAGGCCGCTGCTTGCCGGGCCCTGGCGGGATCTTTTGAGATCTTCCTTCAACTTTTGTATGATCTTCCTTCAACAAATAGACGCTCTGGAAGATTGGCTTGTGCTTCATGCCCCTCCGGGAGCTCGGGGATGTCAACTTGAAGCTCGCAAATGACGGCGATCGGTGCCTTCACAAGAGCAGGGTGAGAGCGACAGATCTGACGATGGCATGAGTCCATCTATCTGATGACTGTGGTCTGGTTGCTTTGCTTCCGTTCGCAGGTGCTTCCTACGACTGTAGTTGTCATCCCATGGTATCAGAGCTGACCCCGGAGGAAACAGCTGTATTTTCTTCTGGTCGTCAGAAGGAGACTCGGAGAGAAAGCCATTCTTGTGCGAGAGGCATCGAGTTGTCACTTTCTGCGGATGCTCTGCGTCCAGCCTCCCTGCAGCTGCGGCCATGGGTGCACCGAACCGTCAGGTGTGTGTAGTGTGGATGTAAGTAACACAGCTTCACAGAGGCATCATGTGGCTGTCTGTCTGTCTGTCTGTCTGTCTGTGTGTGTGTGCAGGTGTGGCTGTCTGGCTGAGTGGCCGATGGCTTCGCCGCGCTGATGGTGACGATGCGGCCGTCGAGTGGCGCGATGGCCCTCTCCCCCACCGCCGCTGAGTGCTGCACGTGTGTGTCTGTGTGTGGATCCATTTTCACTGATGAGCGAGTACGACAGCGACGAGGCGAAGATGCGCCGCCGGCAGGCCGCCTTAGAAAAGTTTGCAGAGCTCTACGGATACCGATACACATACAACCACCGGTGAGTGGTGGAGGGAGAACACACTCGATGCGCGATTGTGTGGATGCCTGCCTGCCTGCGTGTGTGTGGTCTTTGTGTGCAGTGATGTGGGATATGTGTGTGGCGCGTCGGAGTCGGCCGCTCGCAACCGTGGCGACTATGTCTTCACACAGCCACGGTACACATGAGAAGAAACACTCAGCGCATGTGCGTGCGAGGGCGCCCCTCATTCTTGCAGCGAGGCCCGTGAGTAAATCCAGCTGATCATGAAGACACTCACAGGCAAGACCTTCCACCTCTGGGCCCGCCGAGATGCCACGGTAGCGGACGTCAAGGATGGCGTGGAGCGTGTCGACGGCGCCCCGATCGAAGAGCAACGGCTCATCTTCGCTGGCAGGTGACTGAGTCCAGGACGATGGGCGCGGCGCAGAATGGTGTATGTGATGTGATTTGTCTGTGTGTCTGTATGTGTGTGTGTGCGTCCCTGCAGGCAGCTGGAGGATGGTCGCACCTTGTCGGACTACAACGTGCAGGATGGCGCGACGATGCATATCATCCTGCGGCTGAGGGGGTGCTAGAGGGATTCATTCGAACAGCTGGACAAATCACCAACCAACTAAGAGGGAGGGAGGGACGAAGGGAGAACGAGAACAGATAAGATGGCGTGGGAGGGGGTGGAAGGTGGGAGGATGATCTGATGCGTGTGGTGCGTGTACATACATACAAAACACTTGGTGGCTGGCTGGATGGATGGGTCAATAGATGGGTGGGTGGCTCTCGATAGTTGCATCGCAGACAGTGTTCGGGTGCTGGACAGACAGGCAGGCAGACTCTCAGGTAGACAGATGGATCGATATCAATCAACAGGTCCGTTCTCGCTTTCGGCATATGTGTACTCAGGTCTGTTTGTGTGTATATGCCAACACACGCACACATACATGCGTACAAGGCCTCCATGCAGCCACCTAAACCGCCCCACACCCAACAGTCCAACAAACACCTCACTCAACACAACACAACACAAAAGGGCCACACAAAAGGGGCTGGCTTGGTGGGTGTGTGGCTGGATGGGTGGCTGGATGGCCCTCTCCCCCACCGCCGCTGAGTGCTGCTCGTCTGAGTGTGTGTGTGTGTGTGTGGATCCATTTGTGTGTGGGAGGCATGATGATCGGCCGATGAGTCGACGGACTCCCTCTCTGTCTGTCTGTCTGTGTGTGTGTGTGTGTGTGTGAGGGGACGGCTGTCGTGTGTTGGTCGGCCTTTTCTCTCTGTGTGGACTGTGTGTGGTTTTGCGTGTGGGCCGTCTGTCTGCTGCCGTGAGTGTGTGGGCCGGCGGCTGGGGGGCGGGGAAATATGACAGACAGACAGACAGACAGAGAGAGAAGGGGACGATTGGCTGATTGGCTGCACAGAGAATCGCTGTGTGGGGTGGTGTCTGGGCTGCCGTCTGTCTGTGTCCTCGCCGTCTGTGACGTGTGTTCGCGAGAGTGTGTTGATCTCTCGTCGGTGCATCCGTCACACACGGGCGGCTCAGAGACAGACAGACCGGCCTACACCCCAGAGAGAGACAGAAAAGCTGATCGTGGTTCGTCGTTTTGCTGAGTGTGTCCACCCTGTCTGTCCCTTTGTGTGCATCTTCGTGATCGTCAGGCAACCCTAGAGTGTCAGCATGTGACTGTGTTGTCGCTCTTCGATTGCCGGCGGCTGCTGAGATGCACACAACAGAGAGAGAGAGAGGGGGGTGCGGTGGACACACTGACACAGACACACACTGCTGTCTGGATGTGCCTCTGTGCCACTTTCAGCTGACGGCCATGTGTATGTCGCCGTCGTGGCTTTCGCCTCCCTGGCCCGTCTGTCTCTATGTGTGTGTCGTCCCTCTCCCTTTGTGGGCATATCACTGCCAACGGCAACCCAAGAGTATCAGCCCGTGTGTGGGGTCGGTGCTTTGGGGTTGCCGGGCGGCGACAGAGATGCACACAGAGGGAAATGCACACACACACGACAGTGTGATGATCTCATTTCGACACTGACACGCGAGTGGTGCGCTGGTGAATGGACGTTTAGGGAAGAAGAGAGAGAGATCGGTTGATCTGTTTGGTTTGCTTTGGTGTGCATTGTGTATCGGTGTGCTGACTGTGACGTGCTCGGTGGTTATGAAACACAATGAGTGATGATCCTCACTCTCTGTGTGCGGTGGCCCTCGAGCATCTCACAGACAGATAGACAGACGCGTGAATGAATGAATGGGACGGTACGGCTCATTTGGGTGGGTGTTTATGTATTCGTGAGTGACTCAACAGCTAAGACAAGGCACAAACAGCAAATAAACAAACCTCTGCGACACACGGAATGGGACTCGGTCGATCTGTCCCTGCGAGCAGCCACACTCAACGCAGCTCAGCAGTCCTGTCCGATTGGCCCCGTTGGCCTTTGCCCCCCCCCCCCCGGCTGCCGGGGCTTGTGTGTCACATCCAGTACACACACAGACGACCACTGACACAGACGCTCAGACGGCCATGTCAACAGAGAGAGAGTGGCCTCTTGTCATTGACGAGTGGGGCTGTGGTGGGACGCCTTATAAAATTGCCGCAGTGCAGCGTCTCTGTCAATGGTGTCGTCTGTCTGTCTGGTCAATGGTGTCGGCAGCATCTCTGTGTGTCTGTGTGGCGGGCCGGAGGGGCCGGGCCATTTGTGTGTGAGAGCAATTCACCAAGTCAACTCAGTCACTCCACGGCCGTCACCCGCGGCACACACCGGCAGACACACTCCACCACACAGTCACCTCGAGAGAGAGATATGGCCGGCAGGTGAGTCAGCCAGGCAGCCAGCCAAACACAATCACACATCGGCCGGGGCGTCACATCAAAATCGGCCGGCAGCGGACCACAGGCACTCACACCCACAGCCACAGGCAGCCAGCCATTGGGTCACACAGCAGCAGCAGCTGGTCCACACAGTGAGGGAGTGGTGGGCGATGTGTCCTGAAGAACAAACCGATCGGCGACAGATGAATGACGACAGCCAGCACCCAACTTGAGATGCCCTCCTGGCAACAAACACACACACAGAGGGCAGGGCGGCACTCAGGCACATGCTGACAGAGGGGATGTATCGCTGCACACCCACCAGTGCGTGTTGGCTGATGGATCGGTCAGCCGCCGCCCTCCGCCTCAGCTGCGCCACTCTCACCTGCCCATCGCACACACACACACACACACATGAATGTGACGCAGGTCGACGTGGGGGCCTCTGTGGTTTGTGCTGCTGTGTACCTCCGCTACCGTCATCCACACCGTCGACAATCTCATCGCCGCCGTCCGAATCTGCACATACCACACACACACACACACACACACACACAGAGAGAGAGAGAGAGAAGGCAGTTCTTCCATCCATGTGTGTGGGTGTCTGTACCATCGTCGCTGTCGTCATCTTGCTGTTGCTGCTGCTGTGGCAGTTGTCCGTCGAATACGAACGGCGCCACCGCCCCCAACGCCACGCGAGCCAACTGAGTGGTCACCGGGAAGCGGTTCTTGAAGGCACCACTCTCGCACACAGCCGCCTCTGTGGTGTAGACATACGCAATCACTGCACACAATGAGACGAGAAGACGCGACATTTGACCAGCAGCACTCCCTTCCTCTCTGTCATTTCTGACCGGTGTTGCCCGCTCGATCCCAGATGTTAATCCAGGCGACGAAAGGGTGGCTGCCGTCAGTGAGCACCAGCCATCGGCTGCCCCCATATGCATCCGAGCCGAGTGTGGTCGTGCAGCCGGCCACCGGTGTGTGAGGCGACTGGGTGAGCAGGCGGTTCAGACGGCCCCCACCGACATCCCTCAACAGACAGACACCAACACCGTGGCCCACCCCAGTTATCCTGTTGTTGTGTTACCTGTTGAGCACTGCACTCATGCAGTTGATATCCTGGTGTGAGTGAGTCTTGCGGAACTGGTCGAGGATCTTGTACTTGGCAAACGACGACACTGACTTATCGGTGCACCCCAGACCACCGCTCCATAGCCATCGGGCACGGACGGTCGAGTAGAAGATGCGGTTGCGCACTGGTGGGTCGTGTGGCTGCCGGTGCTGCTGGAACAGATGGCCGGCAGGGAGGGGCGGGTCGAGCTCCAGCTCAAAGTTGGGCTCGTCGATGATGGCCCGCCACTGATTGCCGTGCTAGAACAGCTGCAGGCAGCTGCCGTCACTGAAGTGGACGTGGGGGCCGACCATCTTGAGCTGCGCCAACACACGGGGAGCCGACACATACGCATACACACGGATCACAGACACACAGAGAGAATGAGGCCCTCTCTCTTTGTCCCCTCCCCGCCCGTCTGTTTGCCGGCTCACCGTTATGTTTGCGTGTGTGTTGATGTCAGCCCCACTGAGGGGCACAGGCAGCTCACAGTTGCCGCACTGCCCCGCCAGCTCAATCACGTCGCCCATCTCGCCGCCCCAGTCCCCCTCCTCCACCACGCACACAGCCGCCAGCAGATCATGTGCGTCGAACTGGTCGTCGTCGAACCGCAGCAGCTGCACTTGCTGCCCATTCACATTCGCCCGCCGCAGCCCCGCCTGTGAGTCCAGCGAGTGGCGGAGCCGATCTCTCAGCTGGGCCGCTCCGAAGAGCTCTCTGAGCCAGGTGCAGGTGGCCCTCAGCCGCACGACGTCCTTGACGCCGAGGAGGTAGCGGCTCCTCCGGCCCACACACAGGTATGACACGGGGTGCTGCTGCTGCTGCTGCTCGTGGTGCTGCATGGGATGTCCAGATGGGCCAAGACGGTCAGATGAGTGAGGCGGTGGTCGACGAGAGAGAGGCTGCACAGAGCGACAGAGCCGACAGACAGAGGATTGTGTCCATCAAGCATGCTGCTCACAGATCTGTGTGCTGCTCACCTTCCAGGATAGGAGCTCGCTGTGACGGCGATGACGAGGCGCAGATGACCTCAGTCACAAGCAAAAACCTGTCAGAAGTGCAAGTCGGTCCAGGGTTTAGGGTCTAGGGTTCATAGACCGACGATCCACTGATCTGTGAGACAGGACGGCTGTTGAGTCTTTGTCCGTTCCATGAGACAGGCCATGGCGGACAGGACGTCAGACAGGATGGACTGACGCATACTACATGTCCTACATGGACTCTCCACAAAATCCACAGACCTTACGTTGC